AGCTTAGGAGGAGGACAGGATATGATTCTGTGGGTGGCTCTACCAGGCGCTTCTGCGAAGTCCTCAACACACTGAGGTCCATCTCTCTCAGCCAGGGGTCATTTCGTAGAAAAAGAGGTGCAGGAGCTCATTGGCATAACTTATTTGCATATTCCACACCCCCTGACATCACTGGAAGTGTGGCAGAAAGCAACACCCACTGCTCAGGCTCCACTGGACTGTTCTGGATTGCTAGCTATTGGGGGGGGGATGTGCAGATCTGCCTTCGCAGAGGAGGGAGAGCTTGTACCTGAATAAAACCTGGTCTTAAAGGTGCCACTGGACTGTTTTGGGCCGGGGGGCCGGGGGGGGCTCTGCAACTTACCTGGCTGCTTCTTGCTCTGACTGAGGGCTGCTGGGAGCAGGGGGTGGGGCTTCTTGCATGTGCCCTCCCCCTGGGCTCCTTACTGCCGGAGCTCCGCTCCTGTGCTGCAGGAAATGACCCCTGCTCTCAGCAGAGGCCAAACCCTGGAGGCCCTGTCAAGGTTCAAGGAACCCCGCTGCCCCAGCTCCTGGTGTGTGTGTATTTAAAACGGCTGCTGGTACTCATGTAAGGATGGATTGATTTCCACCTATTCCCTCATCTTGGGAGAGCCCCCCCTCTGAAGGTGCCGGTACTCAGTACCAGTGAGTACCACTACAAAAAAAGCCATGCATACAACAGTGTCCCCTAGTTGCCCACTTTCTAGGCTTTCTCTGCTGTGCTCCTGTCTTTCCCAAACTTAGTCTGATATGAGCTTTCGAAAAAGAGCACAGAAGGTGGGTTTGCATGCTGGCCAGACAGGGCAGTGTGTATTGTTGCAAGCCCCACTTCCCTTGCCCTAGCCTCCTTCCATGGCCCCCATCCTTCCCTCCCTGTGCCACCAGAGGGTCTTTTCAGGCTGTTTTTAAAAAATTGTTAATTGCTATTCACTGTGTGGAAACAACCTTATTTTTTAAAAAAATTAAAAATCTCTTGTGTCATTTGTGGTTTGATCCCGAGAAGTTGGAGAGCTGCTGGAAGTCAGAATTGTTAATACTCGGCTGCATGGACTGGTGGTCTGGCTCAGTCTGAGGCTGTTTCATTTGTTCATGACTCCTGCAGTCACCCACCAGTCTCAAAATGTCACTTGGGAGAGCCCCCCCCCCGAAGGTGGCGGTACTCAGTACCAGTGGGTACCACTACAAAAAAAGCCATGCATACAACAGTGTCCCCTAGTTGCCCACTTTCTAGGCTTTCTCTGCTGTGCTCCTGTCTTTCCCAAACTTAGTCTGATATGAGCTTTCGAAAAAGAGCACAGAAGGTGGGTCTGCATGCTGCCCAGACAGGGCAGTGTGTATTGTTGCAAGCCCCCTTCACATTGGTGCCACTTCCCTTGCCCTAGCCTCCTTCCATGGCCCCCATCCTTCCCTCCCTGTGCCACCAGAGGGTCTTTTCAGGCTGTTTAAAAAAATTGGTAATTGCTATTCACTGTGTGGAAGCAACATTTTTTTTAAAAAAAATTAAAATCTCTTGTGTCATTTGTGGTTCGATCCCGAGAAGTTGGAGAGCTGCTGGAAGTCAGAATTGTTAATACTCGGCTGCATGGACTGGTGGTCTGGCTCAGTCTGAGGCTGTTTCATTTGTTCATGACTCCTGCAGTCACCCACCAGTCTCAAAATGTCAATTACTCTATACATGCATGTGTGAAAGTGCCTGTAAAACTTGTGTGTGCCAGGATTTGTGCAGCAATTACACGAGAGGTAATCCGCATATATTATGTGGTCGTTGGAGGCTTGGTTCGTTGGTTTTGTTTTGTCTTCTTTTGTTTTTTTAACTGTCTGGCTCTTTAAACCCAAAGCCTCTTATCTGAACTCCTGCCAAACCTAATTTTGCCTGCTAGCTGATCCCAAAAGCCTGATGACACCAGCAAGGAATGGCTCAGAAATATTAGATGGCCTCTAGAAGCTAATAGTCTATACCTGAGATTACATTTGGAACCTGCTCCAAAAAGAATTCATTTTAAGAGCATTTTACTGACTTAGTGAAATGGTTAGCATGAAGATTCCTATGGAGAGATGGCATGTAAGGAAGGAAGTGCCTTGGGGAACCTTGCCTGCTCAGACTGACAATGAAAATGGGGTTTCATCGGTGGTGACTGCCCTGAGGCCTGCCTGGTCCAACATTTCAAGCCCGGCGTGGTCTTTGTTCTGTTTGCACAGTTGCATAACTTCAGCTTTTGGATCCTCAGTCCTTTATAGGGCACACCAACGGTGACATTGACATGTGACAAAAAACAACAGAGGTGAAAACATAATATGGCTGCGGTCACACGGAACATTAGCCACGCAAGAGAGACGGAAGACAGGCGGATTTTCTGGGCGCGATCTCACCGGCACATCTGGGAAGCGTAGCGCTTCCGTGGCACAACCAAGGCTTCCTGCCGAAAACACGCAGCAAAAAACTAGTACCTCGGAGGTACTAGTTTCGGGAAACCGCGGGGCAAGGGCGGGCGTCTGATCGCGTTTCCGGTAGCATCCAGCGCCTGCCCATGTCCCCTTGCGAAAAAGGGTTTTTTTCCCCCAAGTCTCCGTGGATGCGCACACGCACCCAATGGAGCATGCGCATTCGTCGTGTACACAAAAAAAGAAAACCAGTTTGCCGCACCGCGCGCTTCTTTGTTGCGCGCAGGCGTGTCCTGTGATCGGCCCCTCTCCCTACCCATGGAACCTCCACGGTACCTCCACAGAACCTCCACAGGAGGTCTGATTGCTTAACTGCGTGTTAGTTTGCCCCGGGGCAAACAGCCACGCTTTCCCCCCGCAGTTTCCTGCCCGTGTGACCGGAGCCATAATAAGTATTTGCATAAATCTGTGGAACTTTCAAAGTGTTCTAAATGTGTTATGTCATTCATCTTTACAATAACTCTGTAGATTGAAATAGCTAGGGTTGCCAGGTCTGGGTTGGAAGATACCTGGAAACTTTGGGGGTGGATCCAGGAAAGGGTGGGGTTTGGGGCCTCAGCATGGTACAATGCCATAGAGTACACCCTCCAAAGCAGCCATTTTCTCCAGGGGAGTTGATCTCTGTCAGCTGGAGAGCAGTTGTAAAAGCAGGAGTGATGCGCCGTAAAATAGCAGAGACTCTGTGTAAGTATGTACAGAGTGTTTACAGTTTATTTACACTGGACACTGGAACATACATACAGTCCTTCTGAATCCAACTCACTGTCCCCACCTGGAACTTGGCAACCCAAGAAATGGCCCATGTATAAGCTGTCCCAAATCCTGCTGGTGGTGGGCATAGGCCTTCTCCTGTGCTGTTGTTTGCCTGGTCCGAGCTGATTGGTCTGCCACTTGGCTTGGATGGTGCAGGAGGAGGTGACAGGTGGGCATATATGTGTCATCACAGCTGGCTGGATCTGTGCTGAGCAACCCCTACAATATTGCCACTGGAGGTCTACTTTAGGTTGCTTATGGCTGCCAGACTCCAGCCTACTAGGAATCTTCCTCATAAATTGAAGGGCCAATCATCCTCTGCCTGGAGACAGAACTGAACGTAGTTTGGAAGTGAGATGTAGACTTAACCCACTTTTGCCTCTGCTCATACAGGTTTGTCAGGGCCGTATATTGTTAATACAGTTTCAGGACCTGCTTGATGAGAGAAGGTAGCAGGACAAAAAGAAATGTATTTACATGCAAACAAAAAGCAGTAATACCTCTGAACTATTGTCATTGTCTGTTCCATCTAAAAGCAGATTATAAAACCCCTATTGGGTGCGGTCAGATGGCGTGCTGGAGTGGTTTAAACTGCTCTGGTCCAAGGCGCTTTTTTTTAAGCTGGAAGAATTGCGATCACACTTACCTCCTTGTTCCGGATCACTGCACAGCCACATTGCTCCCGGCCCGTTCACACAGGTTTCTTCCCTCTCAGTTTGGGCATGCGCGCAGGCAGCCATCCTTAGCATTAACATTTTTGCGCGTGCGCAGAACAGCGATTTCCCCTTCAACCCAACTGCCGCAACACTTCCCTTTAAACTTTAAATGAACCACTTCCCTTCACACTTTTACCCCAAAACTGGCCTCTGTGAGATCCTGAACTCATATACACAGCAAAACTAGGCACCATTTAAACTTTGGTTTTACTAATACCGGGGCGAAGCTCTGCCCCAGCGCATATCGCCAATGCTTAATTTAAAAAAAAAAAATGGGTGAAAAGCGGAAGCCTCGGGCAGCTTTTGAGCGGGGAACAGGAAGTGGCTCTACACCGGCGGAGGAGCACTCACACATGGGGAAAATGCAGCTGGAACCGGAGAAGCAGGAAAACACCACTTGGGGACCTGGTATCAAAATACTCCACTTTATAGGGGGTTTGTGCTGGAAAGTGACAGCTGGGGACGGGAGGCAGATGTTGACCGTGTGATTGTGTGTAAATAGTCCATTTCTAACCGGCATGTATACCGGCTCAAATGGCCCATCTGAACGCACCCATTGTGGTTTAATAGATTGAGTTGAGTGATGATGGCTTGTCTAAGGCTGTCTAGTTGGGGCTGTGACCCATTGACAGAACTTCTGCAGAGAAAAGCCTTCAGGGACAGGTGTTGGGAAAGGTGTTTCTCTGCCTTAGACCCTGGAGGACTGTGACCATCCCAGGTAGACGATGCCAAATTACATGGACTGGTGGGCCCATGCAAGTTTGTTGCTGAGGTGTGACTTGAACTATGGACTTCTTAGCTCACATATTTCTAATGCAATCCTAAGCAGAATTACAATCTTTTTAGCCCATTGAATTTAGTGAGTTTAGATGGGTGTAGCTCTGTTTTGCATTGCATTGTTAGCCACTGCAATTCTACCAGTTTCTATTGTGGCAAGAACAGAACGAGGGAAACCCATTTCGTATTAGCTTGAAGAGATCAGCGGACAATTTTAGCAATGCAGGTGTGTGAGGATTCCAGCTGGAATTTGCCTTCTTGGACACGCTCTGTTCTGCTTTTGTGTTTCAGTCTGATGGGACGATCCTGGCAATTGCTTTGCTGATTCTTTTCCTTCTTCTGGCGTTGGCTCTCCTGTGGTGGTTCTGGCCTCTGTGCTGCACTGTGGTAAGTTTTTCTCGCCTAGCTCTCACTTTGCTGGTTCTTGTGCTGTCACCTCAAGATGAAAGAAAGCATGCCCATTCCAGTGAGTATTTGGTAGCCAGCAATAGGCTTTCCTTTCCATCCATCCGAAGTGCTTGCTTGTGTGGTTGAGGCCAAAGATGGTTCATTCCTTAACTTTCTTTCAGCACCACCAAGGCCTCAGTCTCAGAGGTGGTCAAGCACTCTCTGGCCTGTATCCTCTCCACATTTAATTATCAGGCCAGGCTGTGGGGTCATCTGCTCCTTCCTTGACCTTCTCCCTTCTGGGAAGCAAATCCCCTCCTCTGGTTATTCATTTCTAGTTCCATGTTAAGATGTTTGTTGATGGATTATCTTCATCCCACAATTGTCATCAACAGTGGTCTGGTTCAGACAATTCTTTCCCTCAGTCTTTCGTGGAGAGGAATGTCTTCCACTCCCCTCCTGCTCTGTCCCACCCACCAGGCACACCTGTTTCTTACAAAGTTGGCCAGTGCTATGTCTGTTCTGCCTGTCTGCCAAGGGTGTATTTGGACGGTTTATCCAAATTGCTTTGTGAAGACAGAAATGTGCGTTTGAATCAGCTTCAATCAGTTCTGCCTTCAGTTTTTAAAAATACATACTGGTGAGGGAGATGATTTTGGACACAGCAAAGAGCAACGTGAAGTCACTTCTCAAGAAGAAAATCCCGCCTAAATGAGAGTTAACTTGTTCTATAGAAATATATTGCACGGTTTTGGTTTTTTGGCCATATCTATTCTGAAAAGGGAAATCGCTGTTTAAGGAGCTGTAAGCAAGAAATTGCAAATAGATAAATAGGTACCACTTCGGTGGAAAGGTAACAGTGTTCGGTGCACCTCAGCCACATGACCACAAAAATGTCTTTGGCCAGTGCTGGCTCTTCGGCTTGGAAACGGAGATTAGCACCGCCCCCTAGAGTCGGATTCAACTAGCTTTTGAGCAAGGGAAACTTTTACCTTTTTAATGGTCATTAGCAGGGGTCATTTCCTGCAGGAACGCACAGGAGTGGAGCTCCAGCAGTAAAGAGCTCAGGGGGCGGGCACATGCAACAAGCCCCACCCCCTGCTCCCAGCAGCCCTCAGTCAGAGCAAGAAGCAGCCAGGTAAGCTGCAGAGCCCCACCTCCACCCCCGGTCCAAAACAGTCCAGTGGCACCTTTAAGACGAGGTTTTGTTCAGGTACAAGCTCTCCCTCCTCTGCGAGGATAGATCTGCACGTCCCCCCCCCAATAGCTAGCAATCCAAAACAGTCCAGTGGAGCCTGAGCAGTGGGTGTTGCCTTCTGACACTGGGTGTGGCATATGCAAATAAGTTGTGCTAATGAGTTATGCTAATGAGCTCCTGCACCTCTTTTTCTACGAAATGACCCCTGGTCATTAAATTAAATAATAGGTTTGATAATTAAGTTATTAAGCATGATATAATTCAGTAAGGACTTGATGTGCCACTTGTTCTGTTTCACTGTTCCAGTAAAGGGCCACTGACCATAAAATGAGAGGTGAAAGGGTGGCAACCCTGCTGTCCAACCTTTCCCAGTGTTTAACCAACTTCCTGTAACTTCTTAGACTTTTAGTTTAGGCTGGAAAGGAATGATTGGAGGTGGTTTGAAAGAGGGTTTGTTCATCCCACTTTTCCCTCTGGTCAAACAGGTCTGGCAATGTGTTTTTTAGTATTTCTCAAACCTGCTTGATAAGAAGCAATTGTGGGATGAGCAAAATACACAATTGTACTGTGTCAGCTTGTAGAGAGTTAACACAGTAGATCTGAAGGTATGGCTGCAACAAATTAGTAGGGACCTGCTTGTAGAGTTTTCTGCCTAAGGCCTCTAGACGTGGTATTTGTAGCCAGAGAAGGGAAGGATTTGGGCTGCTTTTTGAATGCTGGAGATGAAGTTTGGGCAGAAGTCCTGGACTGGGAGCTGTGCAGGCAACCCCTTCCTTCCCCCCAGCACAGTGGCTACAAAAAGACTGTCCAGCCAAACCAAAATGTGTGGTGGGATGTCTGTTCCAGGCACGATCTCTGAACTTGGATGAACTTCTACCCTTGTTTACGTCATTGCAAATGAAGATTTTAATGGCTGAATGCCTCCTTTGAAGCCCATGAAATTAACTCCAGAGGTAAAGAGTTACTTGCAGGTGTTGTTATTTTGAGGAAAATTGTTAACGTTTTGTAAGACAATAACCAGGCCATAACAGAAAGGCCAAGGAAAATATGGTGAAAGAAACGGCTGTAAATCCTGAGCAGTTCTCACTTCTCCTCATTATTCTCCCATCCCACCCCTTCTATTGAGAGTGGATGTAGACAGTTATTTTGCTGCACATCTGTACCTGATCTATGGGGAAATTCTGCTTATTACTTGGGAAGGTTGACACAGGCCCCGATCACACGAAAGGTTTTGGGCCGGGAGAGGGACGGATCGGGGACACAGCAAACGGGCGCGATTGCACCGCAACGTCTGGGAAACGTTGCGCACCCATCCCCGATCCGGCCCTTCCGGCCGAAAACCCGCATCAAAAATACACCACCTCCAGAGGAGGTCTTACCGGAACGGCTGGGGCAAGCACGGCCGTGGGATTACCGGCGCGTCCTTCTGCCGGCCCATCCCCGGCTTCTGGCCAAACTGCGCATGCTCACACACGCACAGTTTGGCAGCCTCCCATCGCTTTGTCCCCAGTCTCCCCGGTATCTGTTCGTGCCGGGGAGCGATTGTGCGGCTGCTCACAGGATCTGTATGATCACGCCACCGCATCTCTATTTTGGTGCGGCTTTCAAAAGCCGCACTTTGCCCGTCCTTTTTTTCCCCCGTGTGGCAGGGACCACAGATATCCTTCTACCACATGTTCTACCATACAGCTGCAACAGACAATTAAGTGCCTGGGGGATGGGGAGAGCTTCATCCTGGGCTCAAATAAGTGACTTACCACTTGGGTATATGCAAAGCGTGGCAAGTTACTGATTGGTAAATGGTTCTATGTATCCAAAGTGGTGTGAATCCTGCAGTTACTCAGGAGGTAACTGTAAAAGCTGATCCCAGTTTTCACTTTGATATGAACAAGTTTCTGTCCCTCAGGATACACTTGAAAATGCACAACCAATGCCTCCTGAGAGTTCAAAAGCCCCAGAGAGTTGCTGAAAGATTGTTGCCCCTCCCATGATAAATTATGCACAATAATTAAAAAAATAACCATGCAGGTAAAATAAGAGAAAACATGCAAAGTGGCTCAGTTTGCCTAATTTATATAGGACACAGAATCCAGCTTTTCTGAGCAAAAAAGCTGCATTATTGCTAGTGAAATTTTTGTAATTGTGTGTTGGACTCACAGTCCAAATTCTGTCTGACTTAAAGATCAAATAAGAGGTGATATGTGCCTTGTTGGGGGAAATGTACCATATGGGCAACCCGCATTTCCCTGTGTGGAGCAAATCACAGCTTTAAAAGGCTTTTGAAGTCAGAAGAACAACATGTGCGGAAAGAGTTGTCCCTCCTCCACATGATGTGGTCCGAATATGGATTCAGTCTTATGCAGCTGCTATTTTTGGTGGGAAATTGTTGTAAAGATCCAGACATAGGTTTTTCAGTATCTTGTCTGATTTGAGCTTTGGTTGTCAGTTTAGTGGGATCCAGAGTGGGCTTTTCCCATGTGCCTCCGAGTAACTAACACACATGCTTTGGTTTGAAAAGAAATTGCTCCCACCCAGTTGTGCTTGCAGATGAGATAAACTGCCAATGTTTTGAGGCTGGGGGTAGTTAATTACACCAAACACATCAATGGATGTGTGCTATAGATTCTTTTGGACCAGTGGTCATCTTGGCATCCACTCATCAACCAATGTTGACTCCAGATGTATCATTGTTATAATTCCCAAGCTGAAGTATGGAAATCATCATCACTCCATTTATAACACATAGAGGTCAATCAGTGGTCAATCAAGAAGTCAGCTTTTTTGTGTTCTAACTCAGGCAGAATTCCTCTCCACTTCTAAGCAGCTGGTTCTAAACAGGTGAATATGTCAGGACTTGGACACATGAGGAAGGAGTTTCAGCTTTTCCTTCATGCCATTTTCGCAGCATGAAATGGTGCTATTGGGCCTTTTGGGGAAACTCACATGTATCCTATGGGACTATGTCAGGTTGGGAAAATGCCATGGGGAGCCTCTTTTCCCCATGGGGAGCCTCTTTTCCCATGTGTCCTGGGCACCACACACAAGAATTGGCCACCACACAGACATGAATTGAGAAGAAGTTGCAACTCTTTGGTCATTGTGTTACATTTGACATCCCAGACCCAACTTGTCTACTTCATAATGTACCATATACTTTGAGTTTAAAAGGGTTAAAAAGAGAGCACTGAGAAAGAATTGTAAAAAGAAAACTTTCTTAAGTATTTAACTAAGGTGCCCTCTTGAATCCTTAAATATAAAAGTGTCTCTCAGAATGATGTCAGGTGCATACATCTGATTTAGAGGATATATGATGGACAGAAGTTAAATTAAAGCAAGGCATTATTCCAAATGTCAAACACCTCACAGTAGGTTTTCTGTAAGAAAAAGTAAAGGAAGAAGCATTTCCTGGAGATCCTCGTTTCTCATTCTACATTTCAGTTTGCCCCAAGGATTTTAAATTTTTGGAGAAAGTAGAGGAAAGTATTTAAACATGAGAGAAGCAGGCTTGATTAATATGGAGGATGAAGCTTGAGAGGAAACACAGGCCCTCGGCTTCAACCCCAAGGAGCAATTAAAATATAACTTACACATTTTCCCATCAGTATGGAGGAAATATAATGAGGTTCAAAATTCTTCGACCACCACCCATTCCAATGGGGGAGATAAAGACTGGCATCAATCCTCCATCCTATTAGGATGTTCTCCAATTTTTAAAAGGGGAGAAAGAATTAAAATCATGAGAAATCATCTGAGTGAAATGCTCATGATGGAATTAGAATGACGTCTGTTGTAGCTAAATAGCCAAACCCACCAAAATCCACTGGGAAATTTTCCAGCGCAAACTCTATAAAAATGAACCACAGGAGAACATGATAGTGAACACTTTCTAGAATAAAATCCAATAATACTCATGGTGGGCCTTTAGTTTTCTTGCAGTGCAATCCTGTGTAGAGTTATTCCAGTCTAAGTCCATTGCAATCAGTGGATTTAGGCTGGAGGTACTCTGCATAGGATTTTACTGTCAGAGCCTTAAGCCTCTGCTTTGGCATCAGTATGGTTTTATTTTGAGAGAGTCCACTTGTTTCCACAAATGGATTTAATCTTGGCATTCTGAAGCTAAATGGGCAAGACAATTTGAGGCAACACCTACCGAATTTGGCCCTGCTTAACTGTCTAATTAATTTCAATCAAAAATGCTGGGCTTTTGTTGCTCACATTCTTTATGGAGTGGTGGTAGAGAAGGAAGGAAGGAAGGAAGGAAGGAAGAAAGAAAGGAAGAAAGAAAGAAGCATGCTTTTAATCTCAGTTCCCATCTGCAGGGATGGACGTTTCATATTAAATGGAGTTGGCTGCATGTATATTTTTTTTCCTTGGAGCAAAATTTTAGATCTAAACATTAGACTTTGGCTATCATGGCCAAAAACTTGGATGTGGACACATCTGCAACAAATGAGGGGTCCTGGAAGACCCTGAGAGGTGGAGGTGGGGGGAGACCCTGAGAAAGAAACTGTTGGAACAAACCCTTGCAGAGACTTCCTCTGGCAAAAGGAGGAAGCACCCCAACCATCTGGCTCCTGAGAATGTTTCCTTGTTGATGTCTTCAGATACTGATGTCTCCTCCCTGGAAACTCCATCTGCTCCGAGTAATCTACCTTTGCCCTCACACCATTCTTAGATACCCATCTCGCTAGAAAACAAACTTTGGAAACAGAGCTCTGACTGGGCTGAGCCAGGCAAGACTCTGGGAGTTCAGTGTACAGAGCTCCCAGTGTTTCTTTCCTTTCAAATCGCTCATAAATAGGGTCTTGATGGCACTGTGGTCCCAATATAAATCAGGGCCTTGTGCATCAGCTATTTAAAACAATGCTGTGAGACCCATGCACAGAAACCTCAGCTTGTCAGTTGTTTTGGCCTGAAGGCTGGTTTCCTGCAGGAATGCAGGTTCTAGAGCACTTATGTCCTTGCAGACATATTTCTCTCATGTAGAATCACTGTATTCTATCATCTACCGAACTATAGACTAGAACTTCACATATATCATCTCAGTAATTATTGCAAACCTACTGCTACTTTGCTCAAGGTCACTAGGTCAATAAATGGTATTGGGCATGTGTTGGGCAGACAGCTCAGCTTTCCTGAGAATACCAGGTTTCCTTTCTTGTGGTTGTTAAGATATGCTTGAAAGTGCCCTGACCTGGATAGTCCAAGCAAGCCTGATCTTGTCAGATCTCAGAAACTAAGCAGGGTCGACTCTGGCAAGTACTTGGATGGGAGACCTCCTTGAAATACCAGCAGATGGGAGGCAAGGGCAGGCCTTATTCAGCCACCTCTCTGAGGATGCGATCATACGCACAATTAGACCCGATACAGGTGCATATGCTGGGTGGACTTAAAGAGCGCGATCAGACAACAACACCTGGGAAGCGCCCCACAGCCATTGGCAACCCATTTTGCTCCGCCGCAGAAGTGGAGTTAAAAGACACTGGGGAAAATCCAGTAGTAAATGGGTCGCGACGGGCCACGGACATTCCCATGTCTGATCGGTCCAGCGCGCTCACATGGCTTCAGGATGGTCTGATCGGGGCATCCTGACTCTGTGCTGCTGTCCCCCCCCCCCTTTGCAGTATGCGCATCATCGCAAACTCCATAGGGAGCCCTCGGTGCAGAGGTGAGATTCATCAATCCCTTGGTTAAGGGCACTGGGGGAAAAATGGCACCAAAAAACCTGACTCACCTGCAGATGCATCTGATCACACACTGACAGAGTGTGCCCACAGCTTCAAAGGGAGGTGTGATCATGCAATAGCCTCGCTCCCCCCACACACACCATTTTTTCTGGCGTATGTGACCGCAACCTGAATATCTTCCAGGCCCCCAGTAGGGGACAGTCACCGGAGGTCGCCATGAGTTCCAGGTGCACACACACTCACACACACATATATAAAAGATACCAAAAAAAAAAAACCCACCCAAAGAAGATGGGTTTTGGA